ACTCTACAGATTTCGCTCGCAGGGTCTATGCTAATGATTTATCGCGGCTACGCGAAAAAAACTTGAAACCAAATCGGCATGCCGATGACGAGGGTCCCCGTATAATTAAAAATTTTATTATGATTACGTTGGAAATCACATCTCAGATATTTTTGAAGGCAAATTTTAATTTTCCTGGAATTATCATTTAACTTTAATTATATTCATGATATCTTTCATTTTCAAAAAAAAGAATCACACTCTTCTTGAACGTCATTCGGATATTTTTTTTACTCGCTTCCTATAAGGATTTTTATGTTGGAAAATGTAGGACGGGAAGATGAAGAGACGCGTCTTTTCTGAAAGTGCAATATTTCAATGTTTGCAGAGTGGAAAGCTCAGCGTTGCAGTTGGTGTGCCCGCTGGATTCTCGTCCGGTGCAGCTAATCTTCCGAGGATTACAGGTGGTCAAGGAGAAGCGAGCACTCCTGAGAGATGTTTCGGGAGTCGTCAAACCGGGCGAATTGTTGGCCGTTATGGGTCCTTCAGGTATCTCTGTCTGTTATATCGGTTGACCTTTCGTTTTACACTTCGTCTCGAAGCAACACACGCGATATCGATCGCGCTCGATAACAATGACTCAAAGACTTATTTTTCAGACTAACGATGAGACAATTATTTCAAAATTAGCTTAAGATATTAAATTATTCAAGGAACGTAATAAATTTGCTCCGTGATGGGAATTTGGAAATTTCGAAACCTCCGAAATTTGAAAAAAAAGAAAGTTACAATTTACAAAATCTAATATTTTTCTCATTCAAAATCAGGAACGAGGAGATGTTCTGTAAGCTTTAAAATATCCAAGAAAACAATTAACGTAAAAAAAATACTATTTACGTGTTAGAAGAAAATTGGTAAAAAGCACTCTCCGAAAAAAATCCTGGATTTCGCCGGGCGATTCGCTCGGATCAAATCGGTGTAGAGGTTAATTAATGACACCGGGAACGTTCGTTAAATTTAAAAACGCACTTTGAAATTCTTTCGAAAATAGGAGAGTTGCGTATGAGTCGCGTATTAGTCGGAGAACGTTAATTGCAGGAAGCGACAGTACGGCTTCTCGTTCATTTTGTACCCCCTACATTTTGCGTAATGATCCCACTTTTTCGTCCCCCCCCCCCCCCGCCGTCTGATGAACCGTCGTAATTGCGCGGTCCCTCGAATGCTCTTTCACGTTACTTCTTGCGAATTTTAATCGCGCGGTGTTGCGCGGAATTATGTCTGCGTTTCTATCTTTAATCGCTTTTATGCGCGCGGCGGCGAAATACGCGCCAACCCGGCAATTTCGTTCGGCTTGAATTTATTTATCGCCGCGCGATGAGAAAGTCCGTTCGCGTGCGATCGTTTTTCGACGCAGGAGTCTACCAGAAATCATTTTAATTCATTTTTTAATTAATCCCGACATTAAATTCTCGCGCGTCGCGCGCGCGCGTTTTCTTAATGCGACGATCAAAATTGAATCTTTATGACGCAATTAAAGGCAGACACGATTAAATTCTCGCGTTCTGGTGTTTTAAAGCGAGAGAAACATTGTCCAAGTGTAAAACGTATTTATAATATTGTGAATGTAACTTCTCATTAACATCTTGAAATCGCGCAAGAAATATCGTGCCGCTTGTTCTAATCACTTTGTAATTTATCTCACTTCTAATAATATTCATGTAAATCTGACGTTTCACTGGGCCGCGGGTCGAAACAGCGGATTCAATATTTCAAGACCGTGTGTGATAATTTATTGACTTTAGAATTATAAAGAATATTAATGCCTGAGAATCTAGGACTTTCAATTTGAATATTTAAAGAGCTAATAGATCCAAAGATTTAAATGGTATTTTAAGAATATTAAAATTTTCCTTGCTCGATAAAAATTTCTCTCTCTTGCTCTCTTGGCTAAAGAATGGATAAGCACGTGGATTCTCAAAATCAGTAGATTCTCAAGCGATTCTCTAATTTACGAAGGATGCTATTTCATTTGATAACTTATACGGTTTTACATAATGATCTCGTATGCGTAAAGGACGCCTAACACGCACGGCGCGACGCGCGAGAGATATATATTCCATGAAATATATTACGAGCTTACACGACAGCGTTACTAGGGCGCTAAATTTTTGCCTGACATATTTGTTACGTAGGCTGTGGTAAAACAACACTGCTGAACTGTTTGTCCGGCCGTGTTGGCGTAGACGGCGGTGAGATCTGGCTGAATCGCGAGAGGCTCACCAAACGGTGGCGCAGAAGGATCTGCTACGTACAACAGCAGGATATTTTTTTCCCCGATCTCACCTTACGACAAACGCTTGAGGTAAGTTTAACGGGCGACTATTACGCGATGACAAGAAAATTATAATCGAATTCTCGAAGGTAGCGACATGGAGTTTTTTTTTTTCCTCTTCTTTAACGATTTTGCTAATTCCTCGTCTCTTTATTACAGATTTAGAGATTTATCATTAGCTTAGAGAATTAAGGAGATGAAAGCTCCAATATTATGCTAGTGTAAAATAAGCTGGAAAGTTAAATCCTTTCCTTTTTGTAAAGTTTCGTTTTCCCTCCAAATGCAAATTAGATAGACTATTGTAATGATGAAATGTATTGCTATTATTTTTGCATATTTAATAATTGTAAAATAGTTGTAGATGCAGGATGATAATTATAAATTATTATTCCGTGCGGCTCGTTAACTTTTGTATACGTAATAAACAATTTACTAACAATTTACGCAAAGCTTAGAGGAGGTATGTACGATCGCGCGCGAATACTCGCACGCGTGTACGTACATACTCGCGCAAGTGGTGAAATCAGCGAAACGAAAGCAAAACGAGGCGACTGCCGTGGGATGCATTTCTCTACCTGTGGCCCGAAATAGGGGAAGGGGACGGGGAGGGGGGGGGGCAAAATGCAGGAGCGAGCGTGGCGCGTTTCCTCGCGTTTTCCACGAAAATCCGGGCACCGGGCGTGCCAAGGCGGCCGCGCCGCGCCTTTCACTCGATATTCATCACGCGGCCTACGCGGCAAGTAGGCGGGAATTAGGAGGACACCCTGTACGCGAAGATCGCGGGGAATGCAAATGCGGGCCGGGAGCCAAACGCGCGCTGCCCTCCGCGGCTGCGGCTTGTTCCGTTGCACTTGGGGGATTTAAGAGGTCTCGGCGTAAAACGGACGCGGACAGATACGCGCTTTGTCGAGCCTCGGCCGAGAGCCTCTAATCGAATAAACATGCCGCTACGCACACACGCGCGCGTGCGCGCGCGCGCGCGCGCGCGCGTCACGCCGCGACCGGAGAGACGGAGAGTCGCGTAACAGGTGACCGAAGAGGTTCTAGGTAACCTTTCTTATATATTTCCACTTTCTTTTCTCTGTAATAATATCGCTTCGTTATTCTGCGTCTCTTCCTACGAGGCGTCCCGAGAGATTTCCAAGTTAACCGAGAAAGCTCCATCCAACAACGAAAATTGGATGTAAATCGCGAAAAATAATTTCTCGATAATTTCCTCGAGATAATCGGAAAGGTAATATATAATTAAGAAAAACAGAGAGAGAGAGGGTCTTGACTTTTTGATGAGTAATTACGATTACGAAGTCTTAAATTATAAAAGAATAATTAACGTTCTAAAATAAAAGGTAGATAGAAAAATGAATATGTTATATATTTTCCGGAATATCGAATACTCTTCTTAGAGCATTACATATCATCTCAGAATTCATACAAATTTAAGCATAGCCAACGGAGAAATATACTCATACCGAATACATTTAAAGATGACAGACTGCATATCAAATTCAACCGCAGGAATCCCGTTCGTCGTCGCGAGCATCAAGGGAGCGAAGGGAGAGCGGGGCGGGGGAGGGGGGGGGAGGTGAGAGGGTCTAAGTAATTTAAATTCGATTAATTCGGACGAATTTGGAGCAACGAGAGCCCCGTTTTAAATCTCGAGGTGAAACTTTCGATAAAATCTGAATAGATATAATAGACAAACGCAAGAAATGGGTAGGTAGACAGAGAAAAAAGAGAGAGAAAGAGAAACGAATATCACGTGCACGGCGCCCACTCACGCGCGTGTACCTAAGCGGCACGCGCGTGTCACACGCATAGCGATACGCGGCGCTCTCGCAACGAAACGTCAGTCGTTTGTCTAGCCGCGTCCGTTAGCGGGGAACAGAGAGACGGCGGTGACAAGAGAGAGACACGACGAAGAAGGGGGGGCGGGGCCGGTCTCTCTCTCTCTCTCTCTCTCTCTGGCGGTGACGTCATAACTCGGTCAGTGAACCGCCGGGCTCGCGCGCGCGGCGTACGTCTTACGGTTTCGAAAACATTTGGCGCCGCCTCTACACGCGCATACCGTGCGTGCACACGGCGCGGCTGTTTAGAGAGAGGCACGACCGCGGTGCAGAGCTCCTTTCAGCGGGATGACACTTTCTCTCTCCCCGCGGAGGGGGTCTTCCTCTTCCCGGCCGCCTCATCTCCTTTCCCGCGACAGAGATAATCACCGTTGTCTATGTGAAAGAGAAGAGTTTATCTTAACGGCGAACGAATTCGAAGTTGGCGCTTTGGACGCGATTTTGCTGCACAGCGAATCTTAATTTTTATATATATATATATATATATATATATATATATATATAT